CGATAGCAGCCCGGCCGAAATCACCGCAGATTCCACGCAGGAGTTGGCAGGATCGCCAATCCCAGGTGATTCACTTCTCACCCTCGCCGATCGCTCTCGTTTGCGGAAACCCGTTAACCTCTGGTTAATCCGTCCCGTCGATTATTCAACTACTTTACTACTATCGCCGTACGTCGCAGCTTCTCTTGCTATCGTTAAGCGTTCTACACCATTCTGCACCACCACCAACCGCGGGCGGATTCGTACACGCGTCTTCGTATCGGGCTCAGGGTCGCGGCCTCGTCCCACCTCGCCTCTTCTCGCCTCACCTCGCCTCGCCTCACCTCGCGACTCGCGACTCGCGTCAGTCAACAGCAGCAGCAGCAGCAGCAGTAGCCGTAGCGTGCGTAATCTCTATTCGCCGCGTCGTCGCCGTTGCGACTAGTCGCTCTGTCGCTTCTCGCGATACGCCTTCATGACGCACGAGCTAATCGTAAGTCATAATGTCAGCGGCACACTCGCGGTGCGCCGCTGCGATGACACTGTACGCATCCGATGAAATCCGCTTCGTAGGCAGGGGATGACAGATGACAGGAATCGGATTAGGTGAGGGTGACGCAGGGTGATGGCAGGTGACCAGGTGACAGCGGATGTGTGATGACAGCGCTGAGCGCGCCGTAAGTTGACGCGACGTCGGCTGACCTGACGTCACGCGCGTCATCGCCAGTGTCGCCAACTGTCGTCAACTGTCGCCAACTAGCGTCCCGCGCCGTACGCGCTTTCTATCTGCGCATGAGCAGTGATGGATGTCGTGGAAAAAAAAAAAAAGAAATCTGTTCATGGCATTCGTCGCACATTTGCCTGATTTTAATTTATTTTAATGTAATCTATAATTTAATCGAAGAGTGTTATAACGATTAAACTAAAATGAATGTTATATCGATTAAACACAAAATTCCTAGTAGGTAGTTCTAATTTCCTCATCGTGAATTAATTGTCAAAAATAAAATGAGATATTTAAAAATGTGTAATGTATATGTATAATATGCTTTAATTATTATAAAAAATAATTAGACTATCACTACGAATATGCAACAGAAAGGGGAGAGAGAGAGAGAGGGAGAGGGAGAGGGAGAGAGGGAGAGAGGGAGAGAGAGAGAGAGAGAGAGAGAGAGAGAGAGAGAGAGAGAGAGAGAGAGAGACTACAAATGCTCCGACATACCTATGAAGACGCTCCTATATATGTGCAACTCCATGGCGTACGTCGCTGCGCATGCGTAGAAAAGTCCTACTTTGTAATTGCCATTTGTTTTCATTTGTTTGAGTCGCGATTTACGACAGCATCAATTATAATTTTATTTAATTGTCGAGTGAGTTGATCGAAAAATGCCTTACTCCAAACAACATAAGACTGTTTTGCAAGCTGTTATGCATGAAGGTGCTTTACATGAGGATCGTGGAAAAGAATTAGTTATAAGGTTATTTGGTACGTATGATAAGTTGATAAAGTAATCCATTTTTTTTTTGTACAATGAGTATACAACAAGAAAAATCAGATTATCGACAAATTCCAGATCATAATAATACGGCACAAATATTAAATGAAATAAATGCAAAGTTAAAACCATTATGCACAACCATAAAACGTATAAATTGCGAAGTTACCGGAGAGCTGTATTGGATTTTTACGAGCATGGTGCAAGACAAAACTGCTAGGTAACACCTACTTAAGTATTACTAACTAATGTATTACTTTTACACGAATTTTGCAGTTATGTTTATTTTTCAGCTTTGTTTCTCATTTCTCACAAGCAGAATTAGCTCTCTTGCGAAATGTATATTCGGAAATTATTACTTCTAATGATAGCTGTGTATCAAGTACATTTTGCCTTAATTTATGTTCATCACTAAATGCAAAACTGACTAAAACTGATGCCGAACTATTTCTACTTGAAATGGCCAATAGACAATGGTTATGTTGCAAGGTTCTAAATTTTTATATTGTATAATTCTGATCATGTCTCTTAAAGGAAAATATTATGAAGACACGTATCTTTCAGGAAGGTAAATATTACATGGGAGTAAGAAGCATAGCAGAATTATTGCAATATTTCAAAGATACCTATGAAGGGAATCTTCAAATTTGTACTTTATGCAAGCAGGAACTTTTTTATGTAATGTTTTTTGTGAATATTGAATGCATGTATCTTATTTTTTATAACAATGATAGATTTTATTATTTTGCAGGGTGACAAATGTAACCAATGTAATGCTATTACACATGTTTATTGCCTCAAGAATTATGCAAGAAATCATAGTAGTTTGGGATGTCCTAATTGCCCTTTTTCTACATCAAGACAGAATCTTTCTAGTAACTTTTTATCCTGTTTTTTAATTTTATTTTTTTCTTTATTATGTCTAACAATTTAACTATCAGTATATTTATTATATCAATCTTCTTGTATACATATTTATTACGTCATTTCTTAATATTTAAGTATTGATTTTTTTTTAAATATTACGAAAAATATTACTTATAGGTAGTAACACTAGTTGTGCCATGGATGTTGAAGATGCCTCACAGACGAGTATGGAAATTCACGAGATGACACAGTCTAGTCAAACCAGAAAATTGAAACGAAAACGTAAAAACGAATTGATGTAAGATGTTTTGTTTAATCAGTTACACAGGACTATTTGGAAGAGATGAATGCCGCAAACTAAAAAGATTACATTTATTTTTATTTATAAAATTAAATTACTATCTATATACAGTAAAATTACATTCAATATAATATTAATAAACATTACTTTATTATGTCCATTTACTATGACTTGCTTCAAATTTTTTTCTTAAATATTTGAGACCTGCCATAATGTTATCTTCGTTTATACTTCGTGATAACAATTCTTGTTTATTTGTGTGAGTCACACTGCTGGAAGCTGAAGGTAAAACGTTATTTTCACCAGGAAGAGGGATATCCATAGTTGTTTCTTGCTGTTCAGACATGTATATCTCAGAGTACCCATATACATTTCGTGAATAATTGCTGGATAGATGAGATAATGGATATGAAACTGTTGCTTGTCCTTGAGATAAGTTAGGTAAAGTCACGGTAGGGATTACTGTCGGTCCTATTGTATTTTCAAATGATTCAGGAGAATTATCAGCTGCATTATATTCTGGTAAATTGTTTTTATTATTCTGGCTATTGCTATCAATATCTTTCACAATTGAGACTGTTTCATTGTCGACAGACTCATTACTATCTTCATGAGTCTGTAAATTATCATTAGATTCTTCAATGGATTCCTGGGAATTACAGGTCTCTGTATTATCCAGTTCTTTGTTTTCTTTAGGAGTTAAATGTTCATCGATACTCTGACAACTGTTGTAAAATCCGGTACTTTTGGAGTTATCATAAACTGGCCCAAATTCGCTAATTCTTTGCGATCTACATTTATCCATCCATTCTTCTTGCGACATTATGTGCCAGTGATTCTTCTTGCTTAGAAGTTCTCCAAAAGCTTTTATCTTATCTTCGTCATTAGTCTTCTGTTCTTGGATAGATTCATTGATATTTGTAGATGCATCATCAACTTTCTCCTTAGAGTTTTCTTTATCTGTCTCAGTAGATTCAACTTTGCTAGTGTTGATATCGTCATTTGAATTAGTTAACTTGTTTTCTTGGGTCAATTCTTCTTCTGTAGGTTCTGCTGGTAAGCCTGCTCTGATACGTTGTCTAATTCTCGCCGCCTTTAGTCTATTCTGTTCCAATCTCTCCTTCAATTCCTTGGTTTCTTTCATTTCCCTCTGCTTTCTCTCTGTTTCCTTTCTTAAGTTTACCAAATTTTCTTGCTGCTTTGTTCTTTCTTCTTCATCTTGTGAAAACGCATAGTAACCAACACCATGTGTTCGTGCTTCGTCAAATAATATATCTTGATAATGTATGTCCACCTTGTCCGCAAGCTTTCGCGTTTGTTCCTCCCATTTTCTTCTCATGATTTCTATCTCAGGTTCTTTCTCTTGAACAGGATATTGTCCTTTGTCCTCTTCTTTGTCTTCGTCAATATGTTTCTTCATTATTTCATGCTTTATCAATTCATCTTTCTTTTGCATGTGCGGCAAATCCTCCCGCAAACATTTTCTCGTACGACCAAAACAATCCTGATACTCTACCCAATTTTCCTCTGGCTCTATGGGATATTCTTTATCAATCGTTTCATCCACAAATTCTTCATCAGGTTCGTCTAATTTATTCTCAAAATCAACAAGAAATTTATCATTATTATTTTTGGATTTCTTCAATCTTTCGTACAATCTCGCTTTGGCTTCCAGCATTAATTTTGACTTTTTATGAGCGATGATATCCTCCGAATCCATAGATTTCTTGGCATTTTTTTCCACATCATCTGCAACAATCTTCTTGTTCTTTTTCTTATTCGACAGTGGTGGTGTATTAATAGACTCGGTTTTCAACCTGACCTCGTTCACTTCAGCTTGCTTTCTTAACAATTCTGCCTTTAGACCCACTAGGGATGAAAAGTTGACATTTATCTTCTTTGTCATATTCATTGTTGGAGGTTGATCAACTTGCAATACTATCTAAATAATTGTTATTGTTCTTTATAAAGAAAGTACGAGAAACCGTTCATGAAAAACTCTGAACATGTGTCGATATAATCCACGTTTTCCTGCCTGAAAAACAGAATATTATTTAATAAACAAATTTACTGAGGATGACATACGTATATTTGTTTGTTTAACAAACAATACTTACGTGAATTATTAGCGTAAATTATTTGACAGAAAGCCTAAGGCAGATGCTTTATGTGTACGATTATACAAATTGAGACGAAAATCAATTTCATAACATTACACAAACAGAAAATTGGAACGTTTATAACAGGACTTTTACGATTCTTTGGTGCCTTTTGGAGATGACAGATGATTGCAAGATTAGGTTAGGTCACAGAATATACAAATTTACTAGAGAGTGAATATGCTGGATTCACCCTGCATCCGATGTGTGTCGCACGACACTCTGCAACCAATCAAAAAACAGGATTCCGATGGATTTTGCTTCTGTATTATCGGCATCCTGTTTTCTGATTGGTTGCAGATCGTCGTACGACGCAAATCGGATGCAGGGTGAATCCAGCATTTGAGTCGGGAGTTGGGAGAATAAAAGGAACAGAGAACAGAGAACAGAATGCGGCCCTGTGCACAATACAAGGAATAAGGAATTAGGAATAAAAAAATTAACGATTTTAATTTATCAGAAATCGGAATACATGGTTTCTGATAGGTTGAAATCGTTTATTCTTTATTTCTAATTCCTTATTCCTTCTATTGTGCGCAGAGCCTAAGAGTTTCAACCTATCAGAAATCATGTATTGTGGAATACATATAGCGTTTTCGGCCCGGCCAGGTTTGCACCAACCTGGGTTGGATTAATGGCGTTTTGTGCTCTCCTATTGGTAGAGCGGGTGACGTCAACCAATAGGAAAGATTAATCCAACCCAGATTGGTGCAAACTCGATCGGGCCGAAAACGCTAATAGTGTGTATTAAATATATATATAATAGAGCCCCAGCATAATTTCTGAACGAACTCCAGTATGGTAACCCAACCGGCGACAAAACGTGGAGAAGTCATTATAGGGGCTTCGCACAATAAAAGGAATAGGGAACAGAGAATGGAGAATAAGAATTTCAACCTATCAAAAATCATATATCGTGGAATACACAGTTTCTGAGGGGTTGAAATTCTTATTCTCTGTTCTCTGTTCCCTGTTCCTTCTATTGTGCGGAGCCCCTTACTTCGGCGCGCGTCAGAACTTTTGAAAGTCACGTGACGTGTTTGAAAGCCATAATAATAGTCATATGTCGAAGACGTTTATAAAATCTGTCTTTCTTGCGTCCATTGAGAAATCTCGCAACATTCTCGAATTTAGCTTTCCGAGTTTGAATTTATAGAAAATCGTATATCGTATCGTTATAGAAAATCAGCGCTTGATTTTCAAACTGAAAAATTCCCAGCCAAAATTAAAGTTGCTAGAAAAACGTGGCAGGAAGGGGCGTGGTGGAGCGAGGAAGTAAAGAAGGAACTCTGAAAGAATTTAAGAGAGGCCCATCTCTTATAAAGAAATCTTATATCGAAATGTACTAACAGTACTAAAAATCTATAGCATTTAAAAGCGATACTGAAAACCTACATCATAAATAACATCAATTATTTGAGTTTTCGATATATACTTTGAGAATGCACCGTTGAGGTGCCGAAACGAAACGTCCAATAGAAGAATAGGAGGAAGAGGAGGAAGTCCTCGTGATCATTGCGACTCGACAGCTACTGGCGACGGTTATCAATTCGGAAGATCGATTCTCGATTGCTCGTGCGGCATCTAGAGCGCAGTTGCGCCGTTCGTTTTGGTTTGTACTTTGTGGTTCGTTCAGTTCGTTGTCGACGTAGCGCAGTGCCTTGTGAGAGAAGTAACGTTCGCACTGTTCGCAGTAGTGCCAAGCCGGCTGGATCGGTGATTTCTGCGAGGAGTAGAACGAAGAAGGTTCTTGTCGTTTCTCGTTGTTCCTCGTGGCCAATTCTATCTTACCCATCGTTTGATTATCCTTCGTAACTGCTTTAGAACAACGACAGTGGTGGTGCACGCGGACGTGGTCCAGCAAGAGCGGCTATAGCGACATCATCAAGAGCAAGCCGGCGAGTCGGTTGAAGCTAAATCTGCTAAATGGCACGGCGCAGGCAAGCGAAGCAGGCGGCGGCGGAAAGTG